GTATGTGTCTCTGGTTCCAAAGTGTCGTTTCAAATTTCAATGACCTAGATTGTTTAATAATTTTTATATAATAATGGTAGTGAAATTTGATCGTTGAAAAAATAATATTATATATCGATATCTATATGTCTTTCTTTTTGTTCGATTGTGTAGTTGCATTTGTTGCTGTCTCCAGTGCATGGCCAAAAGTATTCGTCACCTGCGTTTCAAGGACTTCTGATATAAGGTATCTAATATTAAGGATGTACACCTCTGAGGAGCCAAACATTTCTAAAATTAAACTTTTTTTCTTAACCTGATTTTTGGGTTTATATGACTGTAAAAAAATAATTGGTGAAGAAAAAATCATATGGTGGTGCACTTCTTTTTTTGCTACGGCCATTTGAAAATACCCAATTCTGATGATTTTCCCATTTTTCATAAATGTTTACCCATTTCTGGGCTATTATCATGAAAAAAATCACAGTTCCACAATTAAACTTTTTTTCATACTTTCAATAAAGATGGAGTGGACCAATCTGAATAAATTTAACTTAAAAAAAATTTAACTATAGGTAGGTGTTAATATAAGAAAGTTTTATAAAATTTTGGTTGCTTTTTCGTGTCAAATTTACCATGCTGTCAATTTTGTAAATTTGGGATTTTTCTCTTTTTTTGGAACAAAAAGCATATTATTTCATCTTCTTTGTTATAAATGATTGAAAAAATACATTTTAAAGAAATTTGAAAAAGAAAAATTGACATTGGATGAACATGGTAAAATCATTTCTTGTACCCCATACCCATTTTCTCAACATTTTGGCTAACGAGACTGACTTGATTGGTAAATTTGAAAATTTTATTACTCAAAAACTACTTATTGTAAGTACACAATTTTTTCAGAGTTAAGTTCGATTATAATATTTTTTGACTTCATTGAAATTTTCCACTTGTACCACATGTTTTGGAAATAATTCCAGAACGAGACTGAAACGTCAGAAGAATACATCCTTAAAACACATTTACAAAATATTTCGTAGGCATTTATTGTTAGATTTTTACATATCAGGTGTTAAAAGACACAGAATTGTCTAATTGAGTATATTTGTTTATTTGGCCATAGTTTTGTCGTCAATTGTTATGCCCCACCTACGATAGAAGTAGGGGCATTCAGGGGCGTAGTTAGAATAAAATGATGTGCACGCCGATCTACCGCCGAGCGGATCGAGGCGAAAATTTTATTGGAACATTTTATGCAGAAAATGATATTTTTTCGGTTTTCGGTCATAGGAGGGTTAAAAGTTGCGCTACATAGGACTTATAGACAATTCATGAATGCAAAACTATTCAGAATTCGTTTGAATAAGGTAAATCATGGTAAATTGAATACATAAGCAACACATTTTTGTGAGACAGAATTTACTCAAAATTGTCCAAAATCTGCTCTTCGGGTCTTAGCAGAAACGAACTTCTCCATTACTATGTCAATATTCACACTGAAATCCGGATGAATATGCATTAATGCTAGCGATGATAACCTATCGTTATTCATGGTTGATCGTACATGTGTTTTCAACCGATGTAGTACACTGAACGATCTCTCCGCGGTAGCACTTGCTACCAGCATTGTCAACATAATACTCAAAATACTTAAGGATATAACACTGGGCTTACTGCATCGAGTGTCTCACACAGCGAAGTTGGCATCTGATCGCGAGATGTTATACACCAGCGTGTTCGCCATCGAGCGACCTCCCGATTGAATTCGTCTAAATTACATGCCAGGTCAGTCTCGTACATCTCAAACAATGTTGCGATTTGTTCGTTAGTTATATTTCCAACAACACGAGGAAGCAAATACTGCGCAGAGAAGCGATTTTCTGATGATATCTGCGTAAAGTTAGTCAACATACCCCCCACCCCCCTTTTGAGGGTTTAAATTACGGTTTGCGGGAAATCAGACGATGAGGTTTTTTTACCCGGGGTATGAAGAACTACGATAAATTCGGGTTCATACGTTGTAAATTACACAATCTATAGTATAGTAATAATTTGGGTCTGTTCTTTTCCAAATTGACTGTTTTTCGGGGTATGGATTTTCATAAACACTATTTATTTTTTTGCCGGTATACTTTTGACTCAGACATTATTTCTACTATTGAATTGGACACAATTTTAAAGTCATTTCCACATACCCCATCAAATCCAAAGAGTTACCCCTGGCATATGCTATTCCATGATTTTGGGAAACGTTTTACACACTTAAAGTGACTTGGAAGAATTAAAATCAACATAGCTCGCCGGGAAGTCAAAATTATTTACATCTTTCCAGTTGGATGTTAGTAATTGCATCTTAACTTCTGTCATCTGCAAATTGGAATCGTGCAGACTTGACATGTCTGGTACGGAGGGGTGTTGGCTTTGGAGGTGACGGTCGAAACTGAGCTGGAGCTTGCAGTTGCATTTTCACTGTCAAGATTTATTCTCTCAGACTCTGGCAAGGATTGTTGGGAAATGGGTTCTTCTGAAGAACGTTTCGTTTTTATTGAAACGGGTTTAGTTAAAAAAAAAAACTGTCAATAGTTTTCCATTTAGCCTTTTCACCTTTTTCGCTACGTTTCGACGTCATATCGTGTTCAACGCCGGAAATTTTATGTGCTCTTTTTTCAGCATGCCGATGTGCACGCAACTGCGTGTTGGCTTATAGGGAGCTACGCGCCTGGTATTATGTTTTCTGGTCTGTGCGACCGTTCATTCGTCCGTCCGTCCGTCTGTCCCGCTTCAGGTTAAAGTTTTTGGTCAAGGTAGTTTTTGATGAAGTTGAAGTCCAATCAACTTGAAACTTAGTACACATGTTCCTTATGATATGATCTTTCTAATTTTAATGCCAAATTAGAGTTTTGACCCCCAATTTCACGGTCCACTGAGCATAGAAAATGATAGTGCGAGTGGGGCATCCGTGTACTATGGACACATTCTTGTTTTTGTTTTCTCTTGATATGAACAGGTACATTTTTTCTAATTCAATTTGGTTCGAATATATCGCAAATTTCTAACAAAAAATAATACTTGTGTTTATATCATCAGAAACGAAAACTCTCTATAACCAAAGTATAAACAAATAAACTTGACAATTCCGCTAATTTTAGTACCCAGTAATAAAAATCCGACCAGAAAAAACGTAGTTTTAAGTGAAAATTTAAACTCACAAGTGACGAATACTTATGGCCATGCTCTGTATGGATTGTTTCAGTCTAGATACAAATTCATTTCGGGTTCCAAAAATCTGCACGTTAATCTGATCAGTCAAAACATATAAAATCTGCAATATTTTATTGAAATCGCTTTCTACAGCAATGTTTAGAGACATAAACTTCAAAATTTCAAGGCGACCGTGTGACAAGAGTGAATAAAAGTGAAAACTTTACTTGGTCTTTGAGACTCACAGTGGAGCAGTTACAGAAAAAATATACAATCTTTGTTTCAGGATTTTTCAACTACATTTGCAGAATTTAATATATCGACTGTAGTGTCACAAGAATTAGGGCAGTTACTCGAAACCCTTGTTGGAATTGTTAAATACTTGATACATCAATTATAGTCACCAAACTATGATTCTTCAAATGAACAATTTTCTACGATAACTACTGTGAATAGACAATTCTTAATGTGGTTTTGCAGATAGAAGTTCAGCCAGATTTTGCATCAATATATTTTTTGATAACATTACTGCAACCATAGATAGCTATTGGCTATTATATCTTTGCTGCAACCTAATTTGTGATAATTTGTATCTCACCTATCCAACAGTGCAGAACATCAGAGTCAGAATTTCAGATTGGCGGTACATGTATTACTGATGTTATAAGGGATTGATCATTCTGATAGGAACCATCAAGACATTGACAGATACTTTCCAACATAATGCGATTCTTTACCAATTAAATCTTCTTTCTGTTGTCCGAGTTGGTTTCCGAGGCTTCATTCCTAACCTCCCCTTTTGATGTTTATGGACCTGATAAAACCCAATCTGACGAAAATTATATGTCTACGTTTCCGTTTCAAGTAGTTTCCTAATTCAATACAAGCATAACCAAATCCAATAACTTTTAAAGGTTATAAGGTGTATTATTAAAACTGTTTACTAGACATTAACTTGTTTGTGTTAGTGTTAGTATCTGATAACACATCAAACCAGGAAGGAAAGTTCAGACAACAAACAGGAATTTAAAAATCTAATTTCAAATTCCTCTTATTACATTTTGGAGTAATTTACGACTGTAAAATAGATAGTTAACAAGATAAAATTATCAAAATTGTAAATGGGTATCAATAAAGAATCGCAAACAAATGCAAAATCTAACATGAGGCATTTCATTGGTCAAGTCATTTAAATATTGAGCATGTACTTTCTACATACCTAAAAAACTAATGTGTTCACTTTAGATAAACACATGAAGAACAGATTTATTTTGCAAATAAGAAATCCTTTTTAAAAGATTACTCTCTGGATAGTCGATCTACAGTTGAAGAAATTGGATTTTATAGATGCCAAGGAACACATCAAACTTGAAATTCTAATTAATACGATTTTACTAGCACTTAAACCTGCTGTTCTGTGTTGGTTTATTAATGTAAAATGTTCTGCAGAATGCTGTTTCTGACAAGGATTTGTAAAGTACAAAATGCTTGTTTCTGAGAAGGACATTAACTTCCAAATTCATATCAAGTGCATAAACTGTAAACCTCATTTTTCATATCAAACAACTATGGAGAGCATATTTTGTAGACAGTGGCGCCGCAAAAATAGCCACTGACTAAAAAATATGCCCTCCATAGTAGTATGATACGAAAAATATATGTGTTATATTAAAGTATATAGGTATTTGTTTATACTGCAATTAACTGGTTCTCTATTCATCTTCTGGAAACCAAAAGTGTGACGGAGAGACAGACATGAGGGATCTTTTATACCCCAGACTCTTTAGAGCAGGGGTATACAAATAAATAACACTTTTCAGTCATGTTTCATACTTTATTCTAAAAATAAATACAAAACACAATGATTAAACAACAACAGTATAACTATACCCTGTACAAGATATAAGATATTTTATTGAGCCAATTATGGTGCCCATTGCTGAGCATAGTACCAGTAATCATTTATAACAAAACAAAATAAATGTAATAAACAAAATTAAAAACTTTGATTAATAATGATTAGTTAGAATGAAATGATAAAATAATGACAAAAAGAAACATAAACTGTTATCACAGAGATATGTCTCGCCTTTTTGTAATTTTGATAATGCAAATGTTGAAATTAAAATTGCAATACTTTAACATGTAAGTAATGCAAATATTCAAAGTCGATGAACCATGACTGAAGGTACATGGCTAAACAATCTCCATGGAATGAGATGTGCCAATGCTAATACAACTGCATACCAAATACCATTGACTTATTATAAGTCTTTCCCTTTAAACAAACCTAAACACAAACATTAACTTGTAAACTATGTAAAAGTTTCAAAGTCAATGAACCATGATCAGGGGTGGGGCTATATAATCTCCATGGAAACCATACTTGCAAATGCCAATAAATTTGCATACCAAATATCAATGACTTAACATTAGCAGTTCATCTTAAACTGATCTAATCACAATCTAATACATGTAAACTTAGCAAAAGTTTCAAAGTAAATAGACCATGACTGAGGGGGCGGGGCCAAATATTCTCCATGGAAATGAGATGTGCTAATGCTTATACAACTGAACACCAATTAACATTGGCCTACCACTAATGGTTCCCCTTGAACTGACCTCATCACAAACTAATACATGTAAACTTAGCAAAATTTTCAAAGTCTATAGACTATGACTAAGGAGGTGGAGCCAAATAATCTCCATGGAAATGAGATATGCCCATGCTTATACAACTGCATACCAAATATCATTGACCTACCACTAGTGGTTCCCCATAAATTGACCTAATCACAAACTACTAAGTAATACATGTTAACTATGAAAAGTTTCAAAGTCAATAGACCTTGACTGAGGGGGCGTGGCCAAATAATCTCCATGGTACCGTAATGAGATGTGCAAATGCTTATACAACTGCATACCAAATATCATTGACCTACCACTAGTGGTTCACCATGAACTAGACCTAATCACAAAGTAATACAATGTTGACGCTGCCGCCGGAAACAGCATACCTATGTCTCGCTTTTTGACTCGAGACAAAAATATAAACATGTTAGAATACACAATATTGAACCTACCACATATTAATTTGTATTAATAACAATGTTATTTATCTGTCAGGAGTCACACTTCGATCATAATAAATCCTGATTATAATATAAATTAGATGTGCTTAAGATTGCAAGTGAGACAACCATTTCAATAAGTTAATCAAGTCAAAAAGAAAGATTTCAAAATAATTCTTATTTTTGCTTGCTTTTTTATTAATATTACCATAAAAAAAGGTTTGAAATACCACTTGTTATTAAATTCTTGCAACTGAATTCATTCTTCTAAAACAGTTTTTTATACTTGTGATAAAATTTAGTGAAAGTTGACCAATCTTATCTAGGGGGGTATATTCTATATCCTTGTAGTGAGCTTATTTTTGGCACAAAAATATTTCAATCATTGAAATCTGTTGTGTTACTTTTCCTTGTTATGTCATGAAACAAAATTTGATTCTTGTGGAATTTAAATAAATAAAATAAAAATCAATTAAAAATAGTCAATTTACTGAAATCCCAGCAATTCATTCATACGTCTGTTGAAATATTCCCATCTACTTTCACCATCCAATCTACTATGTGATATACCTTCTCTAGATAATCTATGACTAGAATCCTGAGAAGAAAAATTTTCCTCATCTCCTATTCTGAAATATGACACGATATAACCACGGCACATTGGACATTTATCTAACTGTTGTAAACAAGTATCACAAACACATGCATGACGACATGGCAGAATGGCTATTGTAACATCATTGGTTTGACACACTACACATTCTGCGGAGTTTATTTGTACATTGTTGTCATTAGATCCTGTATTATGCAGGACTTCAGTCAGAGGCTGTCTATCTAAATCACTGTTTTCTATTATACTGCTATGTTGTGCAGCATTGTCATGACTGGCAGATATATGTGAATCAAAATTGTTATCATTAATAATGGAGTTACCTCCTCCTTGGGATACTTCACTTTGTTGTAACTGTGATACAAATAGAGGCTGAAAAATTGAAATAAAAAGTCAACAAAATTACTAAGGACTAGCCCTTATCCTAAACATATAAACTGACAGTAAGAGTATGTAATGAGAGCTAGTAGAGTTGGCTGAAAAGGTCTTATGATAAACTAGCTACAAACGAATGCAGTAAAACTTAACAAAAGAGGGCATAACATAAATAAAGTTGTTTGCAATTAGTGTGGGCTGAAAAGTAATTTTGACATCTTGCCTTCAGTTTCTTTTGTCACAAGCATCAGATGAAGACTTCAAAAAGTTTCAATGTGAGAAAGTTGTGTTGCTCTTTTCAAGGTGACAAAGAGATTATGGGGAAAATAAAACTGATTTAAGTTTCTCCCTTTGAGTGAAAATCAGATGTTACTCAGCTGTTAAAAATTGTCCTATCTAGATTTAAAAAAACTTCAAGACCAAAGATTTAAGTATGGTAAATAAAACTAGAGGCTCTCAAGAGCTTGTGTCGCTCACCTTGGTCTATATGCATATTTAACAGGGGACACTCTCAAACATTGTAGACAAGAATAGAATTAATGACAAAAATCTCTGTTTTTGTTTTGTATCTTATATTGCTGATCATTGAAGTCTGTTTAGTTTCTCTCTATCTTCATTATCTTATTCAGCTTTTGCTCTAAACACAAAAGAGGGTAAACAAACTCTTATAAAGAGTAACAGTCTACTTATTATATCAGCAAAATTTGACTTGTTAGTAGGTCTTGTCTTGCTTATCATTTTTGATTATTTTAAAAGTTTCTATCTATCTATTATAATTAATATCATACAAGGAAAAACGCCAAAAAAATGGTAAAAATCATAATTAAAGGGCAATAACTCCAATAAGGAGTCGTTGGACAATTTCTGCTATTTGACTTAATAGTAGATTTTGTCTTGCTGATCATTTTTGTATATTTAAGTTTCTTTCTATCTATTATAAGTTTTAAGATATAAGACAAAAACTCAAAAAAAATTATACAAATCGGCATCAAAGGGAAATAACTCTAATAAGGAGTCAACTGATGATTTCAACCATAAGACTTATTTGAAGAACTTGTCCTTCTGATCATTTTTGCAATTTAAAGTTTCTCTCTATCTTTTATAGTTTTCAAGATATGATAATAGGCAAAAATCGAAAAAAAGTGGTAAAATTTGTCATTTAAGGGCAATAACTCCTACAGGAAATTGTCTTACAGTTTTGACGTATATGGATAATTGGTAGTGCTCAACATTCTGAACAATTTTACCCTCTTCAGATTTCCTCTTTTTATAACGGTTATCAGAATAATAGACAAAACTTTTACCCCATATGTTCTATTTTTTGCCATGTCAGCCATCTTTGTTGGCAGGCAGGGTCAACGGACACATTTTTTAAACTGAATACCCTAATGATGATTGTGGCTAAGTTTGATTCTATTTGGCCCAGTAGTTTCAGAGGAGAAGATTTTTGTAAAAGAATACAAAAATTTACGAAAATTGCAAAAAATTGACTATAAAGGGCAATAACTCCTTAAGGGGTCAATTGACAATTTTTGTCATGTTAACTTATTTGTAGATCTTACTTTGCTGACCATTATTGCTGTTTACAGTTTATCTCTATCTATAATAATATTCAAGATAATTTCCAAAAACTGCAAAATTTCCTTAAAATAACTAATTCAGGGGCTGCAACCAAACGACAGGTTGTCTGATTCTTCTGAAAATATCAGGGCAGATAGAACTTCACTTGATGAACATTTTTACCAATTGTCAGATTTGCTCTAAATGCTTTAGTTTCAGAGGCTATAAGCCATAAACTGCATTTTACCCCTATGTTCTACTTTTAGCCATGTTGGCCATTTTGGTCGGCCAGTTGGATCATTGGACACATTTTTTAAACTAAATACCCTAATGATGATTGTGGCCAAGTTTGATTCTATTTGGCCCAGTAGTTTCAGAGGAGAAGATTTTTGTAAAAGATTACAAAAATTATGAAAAATTGTTAAAAATTGACTATAAGGGCAATTACTACTTAGGGGGTCAATTAACCATATTGGTCATGTTGACTTATTTGTAGATCTTACTTTGCTGTACATTATTGCTGTTTACAGTTTATCTATATCTATAATAATATTGAAGATAATCACCAATAAAATGCTTCGCTGGGCGCAGCTTGATACGACCGCAGAGGTCGAACCCTGAACAGTTGGGGCAAGTATGGACACAACATTTAAGCTTGATACAGCTCTGAATTTGGATTGTGATTAAATATTTGACACAGCATAGGTTTCTGACACAGAAAGAATGTGGTCTAAGAACTTCAATTTTTTTAATTTACCTATTATGGTCCAATGTCCAAAATCAAAATACATGGTTAGATTCAGCATATCAAAGAACCCCATATATTCAATTTTTGTTGAAATCAAACAAAGTTTAATTTTGGACCCCAACTTGGACAAACTTGAAAACTGGTCCCATAATCAAAAATCTAAACACATGTTTAGATTCAGCATATCAAAGTACCCCAAGAATTCAATTTTTGTTAAAATCAAACTAAGTTTAATTTTGGACCCTTTGGACCTTAATGTAGACCAATTTAAAAAAAGGGACCCAAAATTAAAAATCTAAATACACGGTTAGATTTGGCATATCAAAGAACCCCAATAATTCAATTTTTGATGAAATCAAACAAAGTTTAATTTTGGACCCTTTTGACCTCACTATGAACCAATTTGATAGAGGGCCCACAAAATAAAAAATCTAAATACATGGTAAGATTCAGCATATCAAAGAACCCCATATATTCAATTTTTGTTGAAATCAAACAAAGTTTTATTTTGGACCCCAATTTGAACCAACTTGAAAACTGGGCCAAAAATCTAAAATCTAAATACATGTTTAGATTCAGCATATCAAAGAACCCCATATATTCAATTTTTGTTGAAATCAAACAAAGTTTAATTTTGGACCCCAACTTGGACCAACTTGAAAACTGGTCCCATAATCAAAAATCTAAACACATGTTTAGATTCAGCATATCAAAGAACCCCAAAAATTCAATTTTTGTTAAAATCAAACTAAGTTTAATTTTGGACCCTTTGGACCTTAATGTAGACCAATTTAAAAAACGGGACCCAAAATTAAAAATCTAAATACACGGTTAGATTTGGCATATCAAAGAACCCCAATAATTCAATTTTTGATGAAATCAAACAAAGTTTAATTTTGGACCCTTTTGACCTCAATATGAACCAATTTGATAGAGGGCCCACAAAATAAAAAATCTAAATACGTGGTAAAATTCAGCATATCAAAGAACCCCATATATTCAATTTTTGTTGAAATCAAACAAAGTTTTATTTTGGACCCCAATTTGAACCAACTTGAAAACTGGGCCAAAAATCTAAAATCTAAATACATGTTTAGATTCAGCATATCAAAGAACCCCATATATTCAATTTTTGTTGAAATCAAACAAAGTTTAATTTTGGACCCCAACTTGGACCAACTTGAAAACTGGGCCCATAATCAAAAATCTAAATACATGTTTAGATTCAGCATATCAAAGTACCCTAAAAATTCAATTTTTGTTAAAATCAAACTAAGTTTAATTTTGGACCCTTTTGACCTTAATGTAGACCAATTTGAAAACGGAACCAAAAATTAAGAATCTAAATACACGGTTAGATTCGGCATATCAAAGAACCCCAATAATTCAATTTTTGATGAAATCAAACAAAGTTAAATTTTGGACCCTTTGGACCTCAATGTGGACCAATTTAAAAACAGGGCCCAAAATCCAAAAACTTAATTCACGGTTAGATTCAGCATATTAAAGAACCCCAAGAAATCAAGAATAAAACCCCATTGAAATTGATCAAGAAATAAGCAATTTATACGAAGTATCTTCTTTTGCACAATACTGTGCAATTGAATATTTCTTGCTATTGTGCAATACTGTACAATTGACAATTTCTTGCTATTGCTCAATATTGTGCTATTGGATATTTCTTGCTATTGCGCAATACTGTGCAATTGAAGATTTCTTGCTATTGCGCAATACTGTGCAATTGAAGATTTCTTGCAATTGTGCAATACTGTGCAATTGAAAATTTCTTGCTATTGCACAATACTTATTATATAATAATTTACACATCCTGTTTGGTGTGTATCTCCTACCATATCATTATTATTTGCTTTTAAATATTAATCAGAAATAACCAACTTAAAATGGAAAATTTTAAAAGAAAAAAAAAAGGAAAAAAAGAAAAAAAAAAAATCCCCCCCCCCCAATTTTTTGAACCCCCTTATGATTCATCACCCCCAAACTCAATCCCAGCCTTCCCTTTGTGGTATGGTACCTTGCAGTACAATTTCAGAGAGATCCATACACTTGAACACAAGTTATTGTCTGGAAACTAGAAAAATGCTTATTTTTGGCCCCTTTTTGGCCCTCAATTCCTAAACGTTTAGGGCAAATACCCCCAAACTCAATTCCAGCTTTCCCTTTGTGATATGGAACCTTGTAGTACAATTTCAGAAATATCCAAACACTTACACACAAGTTATTGTCATGAAACTAGAAAAATGCTTGTTTTTTGCCCCTTTTTTGGCCCCTAATTCCTAAAATTTTGAGGCAATTACCCCCAAAATCAATTACAGCCTTCCCTTTGTGATATGGAACCTTGTGGTACAATGTCAGAGAGATCCATACACTTACACACAAGTTATTGTCTGGAAGTTACAAAAATGCTAATTTTTGGCCCCTTTTTGGCCCCTAATTCCTTAACTGTTGGTACCATAACCCCCAAAATCAATCCCCACCTTCCTTTTGTGGTATTGAACCTTATGGTAAAATTTCATGGAGATCCATTCACTTAAACTAAAGTTAGAGTGCGAAAACCAATGTGTCTTCGGACGACACCGGACGACGACGACGACGACGCCAACGTCATACCAATATACGACCAAAAAATTTTCAATTTTTGCGGTCGTATAAAAACTGCAAAATTTTCTTAAAATTACCAACTCAGCAACAGGTTGTCTGATTTGTCTGAAAATTTCAGGGCAGATAGATCTTGACCTGATGAACAATTTTACCCCATGTCAGATTTAGCCCTTAATGCTTTAGTTTCAGAGATATAAGCCAAAATCTACATTAAACCCCTATGTTCTATTTTTAGCTATGGCAGCCATCTTGGTTGGCGGGCCTGGTCGTGGGACACATTTTTTAAACTAGATACCCCAATGATCATTGTGGCCAAGTTTGGTTAACTTTGGCCCAGTAGCTTCAGAGGAGAAGATTTTTGTAAAGGTTAACGGACGACGGACACCAAGTGATGAGAAAAGCTCACTTGGCCCTTTGGGCCAGGTGAGCTAAAAATAGTACTATTCAGAAAAAATATGAACATCATGAATTTTCAATTTACATTAACTTTAATATGCAACAAATTTTTCAGATATCTCATACTTTGTGCCAGAAGTAACACATTACATTAGACCAGCTTCTAGTATTGGGTGAGTGAACATGGTAACCTCTCTAACAACAAACTATTTAATTCTATATTTGTATTATCATTTTAGCAAGTTCACTGAAGAAAACAAAAATTCATTCTTGGAGCAAAACTATATTTTCTATTGAAAATGAACCATTATATTCTACAAACAAATACAAACCATGGTGAATGACTCACCTGTAATGTTGTCATCTGATCATCTGTTGTTTTAAGATATTGGTACATAATGTGTGTATCACTATTAACTACTGAATCTTGTACAAGTATCACAGTGAATGACTCACCTGTAATGTTGTCACCTGGTCATCTGTTGTTTCAGGATATTGGTACATGATGTGTGTATCACTATTACATATTGAATCTTGAACATGTATCACAATGAATGACTCACCTGTAATGTCGTCACCCGGTTATCTGTTGTTTTAAGATATTGGTACATCATTCATGTGTTACTATTAAATACTGAATCTTGTACATGTATCACAGTGAATGACTCACCTGTAATGTTGTAACCTGGTCATCTGTTGTTTTAAGATATTGGTACATGATGTGTGTATCACTATTACATACTGTATCTTGTACATGTATCACAGTGAATGACTCACCTGTAATGTTGTCACCTGGTCATCTGTTGTTTTAAGATATTGGTACATGATGTGTTAATCTCTATTAAATACTGAATCTTGCACATGTATCACAGTGAATGACTCACCTGTAATGTTGTCACCTGGTCATCTGTTGATTTAAGATATTGGTACATGATGTGTGTATCACTATTAAATACTGAATCTTGTACATGTATCACAGTGAATGACTCACCTGTAATGTTGTCACCTGGTCATCTGTTGTTTTAAGATATTGGTACATGATGTGTGTATCACTATTACATACTGTATCTTGTACATGAATCACAGAAAATACTGCAACCTGATAAATGTAAAATTATTAGACTTTTGAATTAAATATTTCAATAGACATTTTATACTGTTAAGCATTTTTTTGTTTTCAAATGCCCATATATATCTAGTAAATCAAATCAGCTGAACTCACAAAATTCATACCAATCCCTATTTTATACCTATTGCTAGGGTAGACCAACATAATTTAGATCATCTGAGCAAATAAAAGGTGCACAATGCCATGCATATTTTCTGAAAGGTTCACTGAAATCACTGGTTTAAGAGGAGTTACAAATACAAAATGCAGATGGATCAACACACAGATAAATTTTCAGATCCCAGAACAGGTATGAATAAATAGTGAACATGAGGACAGAAGAAAAATGGACCTTTGGCCATAATTTTAGCCAGAACAGAGCACTTTCAATCATAATCACGATTCATGAAGCATAGCCTATGATCACCTACAATTTGAGGATATGAACTGCTGGTCAAATCAGATATATTATCTATGACTGTTATAACTATTGCTGGGTATCTGCTTCTTGGTCTAGACCCTAAAAGCTCTCCTGTCACTTCTGGAGGTTTTTTTAAGAGTTGTTTATGGTGTTCTGGGCTTAATCTAAAATAGAACAAAAAACTCAATTATAATATTTATAATTGTCCTGAAAATTAAAACAAATATAATTATACCTTCGTCCTCTCTAGGCCACAATAAAATACACTTACAAGATTAATAAAAGAACAGAGTTCCAATGTCCCCAATTTTGCACATATTTTATCTATCCAAGGGAAATAACTAAAAAACTACTTTTTTTTTTGTTCTTTAAAACAATTTATAAGTATCTTATAGAAATGAAGTCTTCAGAGCAAATGCAATGCAATTTCCGTTATAATTAATTTTTTCAAGGGGCATAACTCATTAAAAATATTTGATCAGCACTTATTTTGGAAAGTTTCTGATATAAACCTATGATATAAGTTTCATAAAATTCGGGCAAGAATTGTACAATGTACACATGACAGCACAAACAATGCAATTTTCCATATAAATCAATATTTCCAAGGGACATAACTCTTAAACAAATAATTGATCAGCACTGATTTCTAAACTTGTCCAAAACATTGCTGATATAAACCTATGATATAAGTTTAAAAAAAATCTGCAAGAATTGTACACATGAGAGCACTAACAATGTAATTTTCAATATAATTAATGTTTCTAAGGGGCAAATAAATTTGTCTGAGACATTGATGATATAAACCTATAATAAAATGCTCCGCAGGGCGCAGCTTGATACGACCGCAGAGGTCGAACCCTGAACAGTTGGGGCAAGTATGGACACAACATTCAAGCTTGATACAGCTTTGCATTTGGATTGTGATTAAATATTTGACACAGCATAGGTTTCTGACACAGAATGAATGTGGTCTAAGAACTTAAAAATTTTAAATTGGACATTCACCTATTATGGTCCAATATCCAAAATCTAAATACATGATTAGATTCAGCATATCAAAGAACCCCAAGAATTCAATTTTTGATAAAATCAAACAAAGTTTAATTTTGGACCCTTTTGACCTCAATGTGGACAAAGTTGATTACGCAGCCCAAAAATCAAAAATCTAAATACATGGTTAGATTCAGCATATCAAAGAACCCCATATATTCAATTTTTGTTGAAATCAAACAAAGTTTAATTTTGGACCCCGATTTGGACCAACTTGAAAACTGGGCCCATAATCAAAAATCTAAATACATGTTTAGATTCAGCATATCAAAGAACCCTAAGAATTCAATTTTTGTTAAAATCAAACTAAGTTTAATTTTGGACCCTTTGGACCTTAATGTAGACCAATTTGAAAACGGAACCAAAAATTAAGAATCTAAATACATGGTTAGATTCAGCATATCAAAGAACCCCAAGAATTCAATTTTTGATGAAATCAAACAAAGTTTAATTTTGGACCCTTTTGACCTCAATGTGGACAAAGTTGATAACGCAGCCCAAAAATCAAAAATCTAAATACATGGTTAGATTCAGCATATCAAAGAACCCCATATATTCAATTTTTGTTGAAATCAAACAAAGTTTAATTTTGGACCCCGATTTGGACCAACTTGAAAACTGGGCCCATAATCAAAAATCTAAATACATGTTTAGATTCAGCATATCAAAGAACCCTAAGAATTCAATTTTTGTTAAAATCAAACTAAGTTTAATGTTGGACCCTTTGGACCTTAATGTAGACCAATTTGAAAACGGAACCAAAAATTAAGAATCTAAATACATGGTTAGATTCGGCATATCAAAGAACCCCAATAATTCAATTTTTGATGAAATCAAACAAAGTTTAATTTTGGACCCTTTGGACCTCAATATGGACCAATTTAAAAACGGGCCCCAAAATCCAAAAACTAAATACACGGTTAGATTCAGCATATTAAAGAAACCCAAGAATTATAGAAAAAAAACCCATTGAAATTGGTCAAGAAATAAGCAATTTATACGAAGTATCTTCTTTTGCACAATACTGTGCAATTAAATATTTCTTGCTATTGCGCAATACTGTACAATTGACAATTTCTTGCTATTGCGCAATATTGTGCTATTGGATATTTCTTGCTATTGCGCAATACTGTGCAATTGAAGATTTCTTGCTATTGCGCAATACTGTGCAATTGAAGATTTCTTGCTATTGTGCAATACTGCGCAATTGAAAATTTCTTGCTATTGCACAATACTTATTATATAATAATTTACACATCCTGTTTGGTGTGTATCTCCTACCATATCATTATTATTTGCTTTTAAATATAAATCAGAAATAACCAACTTAAAATGGAAAATTTTAAAAGAAAAAAAAAAAGGAAAAAAAAAAAAATCCCCCCCCAAATGTTTTGAACCCCCTTATGATTCATCACCCCCAAACTCAATCCCAGCCTTCCCTTTGTGGAATGGTACCTTGCAGTACAAAATCAGAGAGATCCATACACTTGAACACAAGTTATTGTCTGGAAACTAGAAAAATGTGTTTTTTGGCCCCAAATTCCTAAACGTTTAGGGCAATTACCCCCAAACTCAAACCCAGCTTCCCTTTGTGATATGGAGCCTTGTAGTACAATTTCAGAAAGATCCATACACTTACACACAAGATATTGTCCTGAAACTAGAAAAATGCTTGTTTTTTGCCCCTTTTTGCCCCTAATTCCTAAAATTTTGAGGCAATTACCCCCAAAATCAATCCCAGCATTCCTTTTGTGATATGGAACCTTGTGGTACAATGTCAGAGAGATCCATACACTAACACACAAGTTATGTCTGGAAGTTACAAAAATGCTTATTTTTGGCCCCTTTTTGGCCCCTAATTCCTTTACTGTTGGTACCATAACCCCCAAAATCAATCCCAACCTTCCTTTTGTGGTATTGAACCTTGTGGTAAAATTTCATAGAGATCCATTTACTTAAACTAAAGTTAGAGTGCGAAAACCAATGTGTCTTCGGACGACGCCGGACGACGCCAGACGACGACGACAACGACGACGACGACGCCAACGTCATACCAATATACAACCACAAAAATTTTATGCGGTTGTATAAAAAATTTCATTAAAATCTGGCCATAATTGTACACATGAGAGTGCTAACAATGCAATTTTCAATATAATCAATATTTCCAAGAGGCATAAATCTTTCAAAAATAATTTCAAACTCTTCCAAGACATTGCTGATATAAACCTATGATATAAGTTTCAAAAAAATCTGCAAGAATTGTACACATGAGAGCGCTAACAATTCAATTTTCAATATAATTTATGTTTCTAAGGGGCATTACTCTTTTAAAAATTAATGATCAACACCGATTTTCAAACTCATTCATGCTGATATAAACCTAAGATATAAGTTTAAAAAAAATCTGGCAAGAACTGTACACCTGAGAGCGCTAACAAGACCAGACAAACGGACGCACGGACGGACAGATGCCCAGTATTTCCATGTCCCCCTCAACGTGATTCACGGGGGACATTAATTCAACAGAGGGTCTTCTTTTTAATTTAATCTGTGTCAGGTCAGTAAGTTGTCTTCAGTCATTTACTAATGCATGACAGGGTTAAACATGTTTACGAGCACTAAACCAAAATAATGGGGTTTTTTTTAAGACAAAGGTAAAAAATTTTATTCCTTCTTATTTTCAATGAATGCTATTGCTTCAAATATTGTTCTTCAATGATCATAAATTTTTCTTTCTAAACTGTTGTTTTTGTTTATGCTGATGAGACTTTGCATTTTTTTTATAATTGTAGAAAAAGAATAATAAAACTCTGAATGATTTCTAACTTTTGAACTTATTACCCAAATAAATGACTGTGGCTAACTTTTGGTCCCAATTAACCTGGTGGGTGCATAGGACAAAAAAGTTTAAAAATTACAGGACAAAGGAATCAAGGTGATGACAATATTTCAAATTGGCCTATTCAGACAGATAATTAAGTCTTGCTCATTGATGAAACAGTCATGCAATCTGACATCAAAAACTCTGTTGTATTACCAGACAAGAGAATATGAGGGTAACTATCAATATTTCAACCTTCATCCTTTTTGCTATTACCATAAATAAGATTCAATTAAAATACCATATCTTGCAACTCCAGAATTCAACTTTACTGATTTTTTCCTTTTTTACATTAGCAGCCATCCAGAGTGCTACAATATGTATTTAAGATGGACCTGAAGATTTGAAATCACATGTAAAACTGTCAACAACCAAATATTTCTACTCTTATGCAGATGAATGATTATGAAACTTGAGAAAAATTATTTCCTTCCCATGTGCATACATATTTTCATTACACGTCTAGAGTATTCCCCCTACTCTTCGTAAAGAAATAAACAACAAATTTGTCACATTAAGATTAAGTCTGTCAAGAAAGAAACAACAAATTTGTCACATTAAGATTAAGTCTGTCAAGAAAGAAACAACAAATTTGTCACATAGTCATTAAGATTAAGTCTGTCAAGAAATAAACAACAAATTTGTCACATTAAGATTAAGTCTGTCAAGAAAGAAACAACAAATTTGTCACATTAAAATCAAGTCCAGTTATGCATAGTTCTATTTAAAATTGTCATATTGCACCAGTGATAAGGTTGATATAAATCCAAAAAAACATTTAGGGGCAGTTCTGCTTGAATGGTTCAAACACCTTAAATTCTTAGTTAAAGCTTGTCAATTCTCAAACCATAAAAAATGTTACCCAAGAACAAAAGTTTTATGTTTCAAATAAATTAGGGTAGTACAAGCATTTCCCTTACAATAAAGTTGTTTATCTGAAATACTTACTGTATCCCTTTTTCTATTAGCAATGTAAAATCTTTCAACCACTCTCCTGCTTTCAAATTTTCCAGTATATCTAACCAAGGCTTTTGAATTTCTTGGAAAAATTCTGTGATGACGGCTCCCCAATAAATATATAGCAAGCAGCTTTTCTTTAAAGACAAATCTGAGAAATAAAACCAAACAGATGTGTTGTTAGTTAGGTTTAAGGGAAGATAACTCAATTTCTATATTGTGTTCCTAGATGTGTTTCATTGAAGATAATATACTTCAAAATAGTGTGTAAACTATTTTTAAATTTCCATCCCTGAAACTGGAAAATAAAGTCATGACTTAAATTGGACTGTGAAAAGGCTAAATTAGTTACACAAATTTATCCAGCAATATATTTTAAAGTAGGACTTTATTGGCAATTAAGGTAACCCAGACACCATCTTATATCAGAATAAAACTAGAGAGCCTGTGTCGCTCACCTGATATTTTTGTTTACAATTGATGCATGAAATAATGCAACCATTATACTTTTGCTTTAGTTTCAGAGATATAAGCCAAAAACTGCATTTTACCCATATGTTCTATTTTTAGCAATGTCAGCCATGTTGGTTGGCAGGCGGGGTCATCGGACACATTTTTTAAACTAGATACCCTAATGATGATTGTGGCCAACTTTGGTTAAATTTGTCTCTGTAGTCTCAGAGAAGATTTTTGTAAAATATTACAAAAATGTACAAAAAATGGTAAAAAATTGATTTTAAAGGGCAATAACTCCTTAAGGGGTCAATTGACAATTTTGGTCAAGTTTGACTTTTTTGTGATCTTACTTTGCTGAACATTATTGGTGTTTACAATTTATCTCTATCTATAGTAATATTCAAGATAATAACCAAAAACTGCAAAATTTCCTTAAATTTAACAATTCAGGGGCAGCAACCCAACAACAGGATGTCTGATTTGTCTGAAAATTTCAGGGCAGATAGATCTTAACCTGATGAACATTTTACCCATGTCAGATTTGCTCTAAATGCTTTAGTTTCAGAGATATAGGCCATAAACTGCATTTTACCCCTATGTTCTTTTTTAAGCCATGGCCGCCATGTTGGTTGGCAGATGGGGTCATCAGACACATTTTTAAAACTAGATACCCTAATGATGATTGTGGCCAAGTTTGGTTGAATTTGTCTATATGGTTTCAGAGGAGAAGATTTTTGTAAAAGATTACAAAAATTTACAAAAAATGTTAAAAATTGAATATAAAGGGCAATAACTCCTTTAGGGGTCAATTTACAATTTTGATCATGTTGACTTATTTGTAGATCTTACTTTGCTGAACATTATTGCTGTTTACACTTTATCTCTATCTATAATAATATTCAAGATAATAACCAAAAACTGCGAAATTTCCTTAAAATTACTAATTCAGGGGCAGCAACCCAACAACGGGTTGTCTGATTGGTCTGAAAATTTCAGGGCAGATAGATCTTTACCTGATGAACATTTTTACCTAATATCAGATTTACTCTAAATGCTTTTCAGAGATATAAGCCAAAAAATGCATTTTACCCCTATGTTCTATTTTTAGCCATGGCCGCCATGTTGGTAGGCAAGCGGGGTCGTCGAACGCACATTTTTTAGACTACATACCCCAATGATGATTGTGGCCAAGTTTGGTTAAATTTGGCCCAGTAGTTTCAGAGGAGAAGATTTTTGTAAAAGTTAACAGATGACGACGGACGACAGATGACGGACGCCAAGTAATGAGAAAAGCTCACTTGGCCCTTTTGGGCCAGGTGAGCTAAAAAAGGAAAATGAAAGCATTATACACATTTGAACATCAAGCTATTTTATAGTCTGTATGTACCGATTGATACCATTTTAAGAGGTTAAGGGTTTAATTTTTAAATTCGAACTATAAAACATTGGGAGATTTCACCACAGTTTTGGTTAAGGGCATACGATACAGTTACAAGGGAGGTAATGACGTTGCTAACGTAAATTGTTATTTTCGTGACGTCAAACTGTGACTTATCGGGAAAAGATGCAGTTTTCGACTGATTTTTATCATTCAAACTGATTTAACTTGAAAACGAGTTCATGGACCCCTCTTTTTTAAAATGACATTTGGTTTGATTACGTATAAAGATTATGTTTACCAATTTTCATGAAAAAGTCAATAGTGCAATTTTTTTAAATTTGATAAATATACAGCAAAACATGACGTTTTTTTCTACAATCATGATCATTTGATTAATATGAGTTATTTGTAAAAATGAAATGTACAAATTTATAGAACATTTATATAAAACAGAAATTACAAATAATTTAACAAAAAACAGCTTGTGTTTATCTTTTAAAACAAAAAAGTTATGTATTTCTATCGAAAAGAAAAAAACATCCACAAATCCGAATTTTGAGGAAATATCTGAAATTTCAACCTCAATTTACTCAAAAAGTAGCACATTATGGTAATTTTTTTATTACATATTTGATTTAATCAGGTAAAAAATAGCCTATATGCAAATTTTCATCAAAATTTCATTATGGGATCAAAACTGTATCGTATGCCCTTAAAAGTAACTGGGAAAAATTAACATTTTATCATAAGGTATAGTCTGCAAGCGTACCTAAGTGTTGAGAATCAGGTGATAACACAATGCTAAATGGATTCTGTAATTTGTAGCCTGGTTGCTCCATTTTTTCTTCAAATCTAGTCACTGCACCAAAATTACGAAAAATATTTTCTTCATTTAACCTGCGAATATGAATAAAGAAATTAGTTATACTTTGTATTTTTACCTATTTATATCATTTGTCTCAATTTTATTCACATTAAGCATTGAAAGCTGTTTTTGAGTTTTAAAAATCAAAACATAAAAACAGCCAATTGCAGCTGTTTCGGAAATGTTGTTTACATAAACTACTTGTTCGCTTTGAATTACAGGGAACTTCTTCCCAAAGCTAAGTTGGAAACATAGCATTTTCAGTAACATAGTATTCGGTCAGATACTCTGTCTATCCTTTAACGGTAGCCATCAAATATTATACTTTTATTTCCTCTGTTTGTTTCAACAACATTTATTTTCATGATTAACCAACATGACCAAAGTGTAAATGCAAAAAACTTAACATTAAGTCAGCATAAATTATTGGTCCTGGTTTTAGTATTGTGAGTACTATTCACCAGGTAAGTTTGCGCTAAAATGGGCTATTGAAAATACAGGTGAATGGATTAATCCTGCACTAAAATGGGCTATAATATCTGCGCTTAAATATGCCCTAGTAGTTCAAAATTTTTCGATAGAATGTCCTGCGGCCCTTCTTATACAGATTCTAATTTTTGATCTTTTCTTGTACAAAAATGACATACAAATGTAACATCTGATTAATCCATAATTATTCTTCTTTGAGACATAATAATACCAGGGACATATATGTATAGACCTTATCGCTATTTGAAAATCTGCCCAGCATGACCCTAGAATCAGCGCCTCTTGAACTTTTGACGTCATACAGTAACAATCATTTTCCATTGTGGCGTCAGATATTTTCTCTTGTGACGTCAAAATTTTAAGGGAACCTTTGTGAAGTCCAGTTATGGCGTACAAAAAGCGATAAGGTGTATTATATGTCTCTGGTAATACAGAATAATTCATAAAATTGTCCATATAGGCCATATAAGATACAAATTACAATTTTATCCCTCTTTGTGTTTTGCCATTGGACTTGTTTTTATTCAATGGTATGAATTTTTTCCTGCATGTGGTGCATGTTTGAATATACACCTTATCGCTATTTGTCCGCCATTACTGCACATCGCACAGGTTCTCGTAAAATTTTGACGTCATAATACAAAATATCTGACGCCACAAAGGAAAAGTGATTGTTGTATGACGTCAATAGTTCAAGCGGGACTGATTCTCGGGTCAGCCGGGAATAGCGATAAGGTGTATTGTAATAATTTGCTAACTACGATTTGTATTACATATAAGAATAAAGAATTTCTAATTCATATTTGTATTCTTTTTATTTTGTAGGCATGAGATTTCTTTAAATATCAGATGGAGCTATTCCAGATAAAAGTTGGTTAAACAAATAGGTGGAAATCTAGACATTTTTTGCAATAATGTTTTTATAGGGAAAAAATGACATAATTTGCATGTCCACCGTTCCATACACAGGCACTTGTTTCTATCCATGGGAGGCACTTGTTTCTATCCATGGGAAGCCCCACTATCAACGTATATATATACGTTGATAGTGGGGCTTCCCATGGATAGAAACAAGTGCCTAGTGGGGCTTCCCATGGATAGAAACAAGGGCCTGTGGTTCCATATCCATAGGGTACAGACTATTTCTGTAATAACCCATGTTATCACGGAATTATTTCCTTTTTTCTTGAATACCTTAAAATCACAAAAACAATCAGAATAAAACTAAAAATGGTCCCCAAAATTGGTAAATAATTTGTGTAATTCGCAAATGAAAGTAAATTCGGGATTTCGTCTGTCATTTTTCGTTTTCTGCATCTCCAAAGTTAAAGAGTTTCATATCATACAGTTAAAAACCCAAATATTTCTATTGTCAAAAACCCACAGTCACGAACGTTTTTCAACTATCAAATATAATATATAACTGTTCCGGTCCTATCATAGATGTATAAACCCATAGCTATGGGTTTATATATAAAAATCAATCGGGTCCAGGACCAATCCAGTATATCTTATTATAATCCTTTGTGATTAATTCCATAATCTATGTGCATACATTTAGAGTAATTTAGAGCTGGTAAACTCAGTGTATGATAAATATTTCTGGTTATGGAATACATGCTTCTGCATTCATTTTCATATTTTTCTAGAAATTCACACTTGCATGTTTGTAGTATAATTATTGTGTGTGTATTTTTAGAATAGAAATCCAGATCAGGTCTGGGTTTCTTATACTAAAAAAGGTGTTTCGGTTATGGTCATGTAGACCATAGATACATCTATGTGTAGACCTAGGCCTATCCTCATCAGGTATCCCTAGCCTATATGTTTCCTTTCTTGTAATATGTAGAATAGTTCCAATTTGATTTCTCCTATGGGGATACGACACCTGTTTATACAATCGGTTTTTTTTTATCTTTTTTCTTCTTTCTGTTTTTTTTTGTGTGTATTTTTTCTCTTTTTATTTAAGCTCTTCAATTGGTTTATTGTGCGTTACATTTTTATCTTTTGTTTGATTTCGTCTGTTTATATAATATTTCTTCTTTGAATTCGTTAAATACTCTTTTAGATTTTTATGTCTTTTGTATGTAAAACGTCTGCTCATTGCTTTTAATACTCTTTTTGAGAGATTAAAATCTTTTTTTGTTGTTCTATTTGAGAACTATTAATTTTTTAATAGCAGTCTTTATTTGAGAGATTACTTTATTTTTGCTATTCTATTACTGTAAATTCAGAAATTATTACGTGCATTCATTATTGCGATTTTGTCAATTTAGACTAAAATGCGATTTTAATTTTTACGATATTGAGAAAAATCCTGTTAAATGCATATAAAAAATTTCAAAATGCGAGTTTAAATTATTGCGATTATAACCCTGTCGCATTTTTCGCAAAAATAAAAACATCGCAATAATTTCTGAATTTACAGTAATAGCAGTCTCTATTTGAGAGATTATTATATGTTGTTATTCTATTTGAGAATAACTTGTATTATCAATCTCTATTTGAGAGATGATTATTACTGTCTTTTTACAAATACAAGACAAAACAGTCCTTTACTTCCTATGTTATAGCGTTAAAATAGAAATCCTGCACTGTGTGATAGATAAGAATGTATATTTTACAAATATTTCTATCTAATTGCTTCCACGTGATTACAAGATCTCGTATGCTGATTGGTTGATTCTATATACGTCATAGATAAATCATAAATCAGGTAGATTATTGAAAGACTGTAATTTTTATTTTGAGCAAAATCTTATCAAAAGTGTTCAAGAGTATAAATACCTAGGTATTGTAATGCGAGCATCAGGTTCTTTCAGTACTGCAGTTGAAGATCTCAGTAAGAAAGCTCTTAAAGTAATTTTCATGATTAAAAGTAAATTTCATTGTACACATAATAATACACCTTTGCTCTTAAAACTTTTGGACTCCTGTGTTAAACCAGTCCTTCTTTATGGAAGTGAATTGTGGGGTCCGTACATTCTTAACCTGGACAAAAGATTAACACCAGGTTCAAATGATGATTTAGAAAATTTTTTTTTAAATTTTGCACCTGAAAAGGTTCACATTCGATATTGTAAATTTGTACTTGGTGCAACTAAATATGCTTCTAATATTGCCAGTATGGCAGAACTTGGTCGTTATCCAATCTCTATATTTGTTATTTTGCAATCTCTTAAATACTGGATATATTTGTATAAAGACCCTCTTTTGAATTTTTCAAAATTAGCATATAAGTCAATCGAAGATGTTGATTGTACCTTTCCATGTACCTTCAATAAACACATTTTTCAGTTTCTAAAATTCATTGGTTTTGACCATGTCTGGAATAATAAAGGAACTCTGTCAGAAGGAAAACTCATATCTGCAGTGAAAAAGATATTACAAGAAAGATATGGAAAATATTTTTTCTTATGTTTTTCAGGCGAAAACCAAAACAAATTACGCACATATTACAAGTTAAAAAAGGAATATAAACCTGAGACTTATACAAAGTTGAATATCTCAAAACAATATATTAGACAGTTATGTAAATTAAGAATTTCTAACCACAATTTACACATTGAAAAAGGCAGATATAATTATACGCCTTTGGATCAAAGAATATGTAATCATTGTATTGATAACAAAATTGAAGATGAGTTTCATTTTATATGTGAATGTAACCTCTATCAAGACGAGAGGAAAAAGTTTAATGATGACATTGTTAATATTATACCGTGTTTTTGTAATTTAGATAATTTTGATAAATTTAGATATTAAATGAACTGTTCGGAGACTGATGTTCTCAACAGATTTCTTTTATATATAGACAAAGGTATTGTGATTAGAAATTCATCAGTGGGAATAATTGCATAATATTGAAGTGGTTGTTTTGTCTATTGTTTGTTATAAGTGTCACAATTGTTGTCTCTTTATGTTTTATTTTTGTTTTGTTTTTCTATGTTTTCATGTATTTCAGCGATGATCCTTTTGTACTGGATTTTATACTGAATAAAATTAGTTAGTTAATTAGTTAGGTAGTTAGTTAGTTAAATACATGCACGTGTATTTTTTACCTCACCTAACCTAAACTATATTTTAAATAGTTCAGGAGTGCCCGTAACAGATACACATAATAATGTATTATATTTTCTTCTTCTGGATCGATATTGCTAATGATAATAAATAGAAAATCCTTTACATACATTGTATATATATATATATCGTATCTCTATTAAAATGATAGTATTATTTACTGGTCAGTTAAAGAATTATAGTCTGATAGTTATAGTCAGAGACATATAATACATATATGCTCTGTTATAGTCAATTAGTATTTTTCATTTAGAAAAAAACCTATTATTTGTCAGCTGTTGCACATGTTATTATTGTAATATTCGTATATACAGGTGGTCGAATCCACATGAGAATCAAATCTGAACCAGTGACTTGTATGTATAAGTCAAGAACTTTATAACATTCTGTTGATGCAATTAATATTTCTTGTCGTTTGACTTTAATTGACATATCCTGTTTAGTACTTCCTGTATTCTTTTCATCTGGCACATTTATTTCGGACATAATTATTTGTTACTTCATTGTAAATTATTGATACTCCATTTTACTTTTTTTAATTGTTTAATGTAGTTTCAATGTCCCTTCCTCTGGTCAAGAGTTGTTCTATATAGTTTTTCAAATCTATATTTCAGTTTTTTGTCCCTTATAACCATGGTTTTGATAAGTCTAGGTCTACGTGACATAGATGTATAATATCTATGGTCTACATGACCATAACCGAAACACCTCTTTTAGTATTTAAAACACCGTGAGATCAAATCTGGATTTCTATTCTAAAAATACACACACAATAATTATACTGCAAACATGCAAGTGCGAATTTCTTAACAAAATATGAAAATAAATGCTGAAAAAAATGTATTCCATATCAGGGAATATTTATCATACAATGAGTATGCACATAGAAAATGGAATTAATTACGAGGGATTTTAATAAGATATACTGGATTGGTCCTGAACCCGATTGATTTTAATATGGGTTTATACATCTATGGTCCTATACATCATTGACTTTAAAATATAATTTTTTTCATTACAGTGTGTACGGGACCATTTCTTTGCGCGCTCAGGTTATCAATTGACCGGGTCAGATTAGGTGAACGTTCGTCTGTAACGCCCACTTACCACATCGTACGTGTTATAGACATTTAAACTGTGGGGTCGCCAAAGGTTCTAAATGCCTAAATCAAATAATAAGAATAACTAGCAGAGGACTAAACCTTGTGTGTGGATTTTAATGTTGAAAACTTAGACATTCTTTTTATCTTCTCATGCACATGCATGAACTTTACTCTTTCATCCTATTCAAATCCTCACCGGAAGGCCTCTGACATACTGAGCGAGGGTAAAATCATTGTTATCGATAGCCGATGACAAACAAGTTAAAGGTAAATGATTCAGTATTATTACCAACATAAGTATTGCGGTTGTCCACACTGTTACGGGAATACCTCTAATTAGACTTTGAGAGTTACAGACGCATGAAATTTATAAAGTGTAGTTTTCATTTGTTATATCATCATATTTTTTTTCAAATATTATGTTTATTTGTGTGTTTCTCTGTCCTGTATGTTCTTCCATTTATTTGTATTGTAGTCCTGTCATGTAATGTTGCCATTTTAGTGTTATATTTAACATTGCCATTAAAGCGGGAGGTTTGGCTAGCCACAAAACCAGGTTCAACCCACCATTTTTTTCTTAAAAATGTCCTGTACCAAGTCAGGAAAATGGCAATTGTTATCGTGTAGTTTGTTTCTGTGTGTGTTGCATTGTCGTTTGTTGTTTGTTCACTTCAGTGTTTCTGTTGTTTCGTTGTCCAAATGTACTATATCGTATTGTTTATTTGCGTAATTCTCTGTCCGTAATGTTGTACTGTATTCATGTCATGTAATGGTGTCATTTTAGTGTTATATTTAACATTGCCATTAAAGCGGGAGGTTTGGCTAGCCACAAAACCAGGTTCAACCCACCATTTTTTCTTAAAGGGTGTCTCTTGTGAGAGGAACATATAGAATGTGGCGGGATTAAGCATGTAAGCGATCACGGAACACTCAACCTAACCTGCACTGGTGTAAAGCAGGACATATTAAGAACAAATTGTAATAATCATATGGAAATGACTTGAATCTTTTGTTTTTGTATGTTTGATATAATTTGGGGTGGAGGTTTTTGAATCATGAATGCATTTCTGACTGTCTCTTACAATATATACAACTTAGTAATACATTTTTTCAATAAAACTTTATGCGTCCAACTTAGTGATCATTT